AATTTGACAGTGGACCGGGGGGACGGGGGGGGGGCAGGGGGGGGGGTTACACCAGCGCTCGTCAAAAAAATAAATAATAATAATAATATATTATTATCTTTCTTTAAGTCTGAAGATACATTTTATTTTACATCGTCGTTTCATAGTGTGTTACTTGCAATAGCAATATATTGAAGTTACTCATCTACATACATACATATATATAATTATATATATATATATATATATCATATATATATAGAGAGAGAAATTGTTGACTTTGAATCAAATAAAGTATCGCGATTAACCGCATGATTGTCCATACGTTTCATTACACACGTTCTACCTGAAAAAACTTGCACTGCTTCTAGACATTTGAGTGGCCAAATATATTTGCTCTACACACTATTATTTTTTTAAAATGTGTGTGAATGTGTGTGTTATGTAGATATTATTTTTATTGTTGTTCCTTCTATAGTTTGTAAGTCATAATTGTTTGCATTAAAGTGTTATGACCATAATTCTTAACTATTTCTTATTGATATTTTTCATTTTTCAACATCATACTTTTTCTAATTCATTTGCTGTGCTGTCACATCAAACTGGGTCGAGGGTCAGGCCAAGATAGCCCAGGGCAACATTTATAGGCTAGGACCACCACTGTATAAATAATGTGCTCCAGATTCAGCCTTTCTGCAGGCTGCCTGCCCTCACTTTTTTTTTACCCTCGTCCTCTTCCTCTCTAATATTTCATACTGTTTGAAAGCTCAGTGTGTAATGACTTAGTTTCTTACCCACACATGGACCTGCAGACGTCACACAGTGCTGTGAAAAAGTATTTTGCTGTGAATTCTTCTCCAAATATCCACGTCAACTGCTTTAATTTCATGTAACAGAAGAAAAAGACAAACTGCTTCAGTAGAGTGTTGGTGGATGTTGATGGGTTCAAACCTCTCTTATTTAGTCTATCTGATCCCACACACTGGTGTTGAGGTCGGAGCTCTGTACTGAAAGCCTTACAGCACCATCACCTTCTGGACTGTATGTTTGGAATAATCTTGTCTCTGTGTGATACATTTAGGTCCAATCAGATGCCTGTAATGTTGCATGAAGGACAAATACGCCATCTGTTTATATTTCCAGGTTTTGAGGACTTGAATTATCCTCACCAAATTCTTAACACCAGGTGAAAATGCAGCCCTAAACACAGAGTGTTGTCTGCACACACTTATTATTGTGTCACAGTGCTGGATTGATGTCATCATGTATGTAAGTCTGTTATATGCTAGGTTTTCTTTACTGGTCACTGTGTCTACAGACATTAATGTTTTCAGACATAAAACTGTGTTGGCTCACTCCCTTTACAAACAACCAGTTAATTATTTTGTTTTTACTCAGTTAAAAAGACAACTCTTGGCATCATGGGTAAATTACACACCTGACAATAGTTGTTTTGTTTTTTTTTTCAAAGAAATCTCTTGTGCACTTATAAACTCAACCTGTGTTGGATTCTGCCTATTGTTTAAAATAAACAATCTGAGTTGATAGTTTTTCATACTTAACATTTTGTTTCATAGCTGCCTAATATTTGTTTTTGCCTGGAACACAGTGTCCAAATCCTCAGCCTACATTGCTCCCACACAGGTCTCACATAAAAATCCTGCCTAGGTTATCAGAGCGAGGTGTTTTAACACAGCATTTCAAAATACAAAATTTTACCAAATCAAAAAACATGAACTCACATAGACAGATTTAAACAGGTCACAGTAAACAGATGTAAAGAGAAAAACAATCGGTCACACTTAACATCTCAGAGTGTCCTTGAACTGGTGATCCTAGAAATATATTTTAGAAAACTGTGAATGATGTAGCCTTTTCTGGAAACAAGATATACCAAGAGACAGCGACTAGAGGCTAAAACCCAGCCACAGCTTTTGTCGTATTGACAACAAGGTCAAAAGGGTGTTGACCTGTAACCTACTCAGTCTGGAACCGATCCAACAACCCAGCTTGATGACTACAACAATAGCTTAAGTGAGAAAAAGATAGCCAGAAAACAGTTAAATGTTACATTGAAAAGTATGAATAAAATAGCTAATAATTAGCAAAAAAAGAAAGAAGCTAAAAGTCACCAGTAACTAAGCCAAGTATTTGTAATGTTTATGGTTGTAAATAGTAAAATCAATTTATGGAATATATGCTATAATACAGAAAGTTACTTAAAAAGTACCAAAAAAAAGTGGAGAAATTGTTAGTCAATGAAACACAGTCAACTCTTTGGTTTAGGGGTAATAGAAGAGTAGAACCAACGTTCAATATAATTGCTAATGCTAATGCTAATAATAAAATGATTTAAGGTGCCACACAAATTCTGCAAAGTAAATGGATTTAATATTTATTTTTAAAAATTAAAATAATAATCAATAAATAGAAGATGAAAAATTGTATTTAATTAATTGTGATGTTTTATAATATTATTTTAAATTTGTTATTGCTTTTAAATATATAAATTGACACAGTTATATATGTATATTTTGTTTATAGATAATTTCTTTTGTAACAATTTATTATTAGTATTATTGTATTTATTATTACTGTTAGTAGTAGGGTAATAATATTAATATTATAAGAAGGATTTTATGAATTACATAGTTTTATTCTTAAATAAAATATAAGTATTTAAATAATAATAATAATAATAATAATAATAATAATAATAATAATAATAATAATAATAATAATAATAATAATAATAATAATAATAATAATAATAATAATAATAATAATAATAATAATATGCGGTCGATGTATTTACTATCATCTCCTCCTCTGCTCCAGTTCTGTGTATTTATATTTCTTGGGCAGAAAAAACGCTGGTCTGGAGCTGTGCGCTGTGGACATGCGCGGAGCTGCAACGAACATGGCGGCCTGCATCTGATGTAAAGTGAGGCATCTCCAATCAAAAACAGCCTGTTCCAACGGTTGGTACGACCCATGTCTCATCATTACTATTACTCTCTCTGTTTTTACTCATCTGTGCGGCTCGGGGAGTCTTTTAACGCTGGTTTTTCTCTACGGTGTGAATGAAAAGCTGTTCTTTTTCTCTGCCTGTAGTCCACGCAGTGAGATGTGTAGCGTAACCGTGTTTATATACAGTATAACCTCTCGGAGAGCACAGTGGCTCCATGTTCGAGTCCACAGCCCCTTCTCCTTTCGGCCTACATTGTTTTTATGAAGTGGTTAACACTGTAAATTCGCCAGAAAGCGTTTGGCGCCATCATACAGCCTTGTTTTTATTGTAGCCTCGGTTCGTTGTTCCAGTGTGACGCTGTATATTGAGCAGCGTCCCGCCCACAAAATGTGACCATAACCCACACGAAAATGCGTCACACGTCTCCACATTCACTGTTTTCGTCTGCGTTATCAGCATTTCCTTCTTATTCAAACGCCGCTGCTACAATCTGAAAACACCGATGGAACACCCTTGCCTCCCAGTGTCCACAGGGGGCAGTTTAGGTGCTGCTGTTTGGACTGACGATAGTTTCCATCCTGGAGGTGACGCCCTGCAGTGGCTCACACCCCTCACTCTGATTATACGTCTGCAGAAATTCCTCCAGATAGGTCCAAACTTTTTTTTTTTTTTTTTTTTTTTAAGAGAACAAAGTTAAATAATGTAAAAATATCTAAGAGCCACCTGCTCTCCCACTGATATTTGGGAACAATTGCTCTCCCTAAAAAATTAGGTCCTTGAGAAATTTGGGTCGGCCATTGGCTCCACCATTTTTTTTTACCTTCTTCTGTTGAATAATTTTCTCATATTTTTTTCAAGATAGTTCCTCTTTTACTTTAATATATTTACACTTTCACATGCACTTAACGGTCACTACCACATTTCACTTAAACCTCTGTACTTTTCTTTGGGTTCTTAACTTTTGCCTCCCCCCTCAGAACTTCTTCAGGGACAAACAGAGCTGTTTTTTGTTTTACCTGACAGAATATCATACCTCAGTCGTGGAGAAGTCACTAGAACTGAGTTAATTGTACTCTAGTTTTAGTCAATGCAATATTAAAATGAGTTTAGTTGACTGAATTTAACGTAGTTAGTCAACTAAAAGTTAAACTGTTGATACAATCCTAATTGGGCTTCTATGAGATCCTATAAGGCAACTATGTTTAATTGAACATTATCATTATTTATATTTTAATATAATTTTAATGTATTAATAGTTTATAGTTTTGTATTAAATATATTGTTAATTATCCTACACGGAATTATAAAAGAAATATTGTTCTTTAACGTATACGAAACGAAATAGTTTTCTGACTCTTCTAGTTGAATCCAGATGTTTCTGTCAGATGATTTCTGCTCTCACCTATCAAAACAATACACATATTTTGCCTAAGAGTATGAATAGGGTAAGAATGTAAATATAGCTTCATTATCTACTTTGAATGGATTCATTCAATATTTTTCAACTGTTTTAAAGCATGTGCCAAAAAGACTTCCGACCTCTTTTGCAGCATGTATTTGATCATTTTTCAGATCCTACCGCTGCTCTGGTTTTTTGAACATTATCCTAATCCCAGATCATTGGCTGCGTAAGTGGAAATGGATGTTGTAAAACTTAAGTGCTTCCTCTACTGGCCGGCACTTTTTGTCTGACCCTCTTAACTGAAGCAGACAGAGCAGTGCAAACAGTATGGCAATCTGGAGCAGGAGCAGAGCAGGAATCCTTTTCATGTCAGCCAGCAGATGTCCCACATCCACACGCCTTAATGGCTTTTTATGGTGGCCAGGAATCTTTATGGCTTCTTTTGACTCAATAGGATTTGCTGCAGAGACAGAGGGGTCTTCAGGAGAAGACACAGCCACAATGTGTTGCAGATGCTGAGTTTAATTCACAATGGGAAGAAGCATCACTTCACCCAAATTCTGGAGATGTTAAACCACTTAGAGTCCTGGAGTCCTGGAGTCTTGGACTAGAAAAACTGCATTTTGAGGGTTTTTTTTACTACGTACATCCCTGGTATCCACTGGGACTATGCTCAGAGTTTTCTTTCAAAGCCGATCTGGATTTTCTGCAGCAGGATTACAGCGTCAACAGTGTGGTAAAAGTTTTATTTGATGAGCTACTGTTAGCATGTACTGACTGCAGTAGTGAAGTTTTAACTCAAACCATAATACAGACGTTTGATTCGTTTTGATTTAAAACCACGAGTTTTGCGGTTTTACACATAGTCTCACATTTTCGGTATTTGTTTTATTCTGGAGAAAATGAAATGAACATTTGACTGAAACTGAAAATTGAACTTGATGTAAAGTTAAATTCAAACAACAGCCTGGGATGAAACGACAGTGTCTTCAGTGAGTTGTTCCAGTTCTAGAGAACTGTGATTTTGAAGTTTAGTATATTTAGTACAGCATGTCAGACAATGATACTACTATTACTACTACTACTACTGGAACTACTACTACTAAGAGCAGCTGTATTAATCATAATACTACTACTACTGCTGCTGCCACTATTATTAACTCCTCTTCTACTAGTACTACTACTATTACTACTTCTACTACTCCTGCTACTGTTACTAAAACAACTATTGCTGTTACTGCTGCTGCTACTACAACTTTTAGTAATTCTACTACTAATACAACTCCAGCAAGTATTACTAAAACAAATATTACTGTACTGCTAGTAGTATTATTAATGCTTTTACCAATATATTTGCTGCAGCTATTCTTATAACTACTTCTACTTGTATTACTATATTAGTATATATATATAATGTAATTACAATTATTACTGATGCTACTATTACTTAAGGTACTTCTACTAATACCACCACTGCTGCTACTACGTTTACTATGTTTACTACTGATACTACATCAGTAGTACTTGTTTCTTATTATGCCTCTTTATCTGTAGCCTTTCGAGTTCCTTTTTAACAACAAAAAACAAAACAAAATGTACTTCTTCTTCTTCTTTTCCTTTCGGCTCAAAATGTGTTTCTTCTTCTTCTTTTCCTTTCGGCTTTGTCCCTTTTTTCAGGCGTTGTCATACACCACTAATACTACAAATCCTGCTTGTATATAGGGGCTATATACTGGCGGGCCAACTCTAGTACACATTTGATGTGATCTCGTGGGCCAAATATAATAACACTGTGGGCCAGATTTGGCCCCTGGGCCTAAGTTTGGAATGTGTTTTTTTTTTTTGGTAGTGGATGAAGCATTTGACCGTGTGTGTATCTTGTCAGTATCTGCACAGGTAACAGTGTGTCGGCCCTCAGCTCCTCTGCAGCAGCATTTACAGCAGCATCATGGGCAGAACACCACACAGAGGTGAGGCTTCACTACACCGTGGTTCACATTTGAAAAATAACAAACAGTTACAGACATCGCTCCAGGTTTGTTTGTTTGTTTGTTTGTTTTTTTAAAATCCTCTCTCCTGTCGAGGCATCAGAAACTGTGGCTTCACCCTAATAGTAATTACAGTCTGTGTGTCAGGAACCTGTATTTGTTCGGTGAGCTCTTCAATCGCTGGTTTGATTTCAGATCAAAAGGAGAAGAAGGAGGAGAGACGAAGCAGCATCACAGCAGGATCTGCCCTCGACAAGGCAAATGGTTAGGAATTTTCAGTCTGCGTCTTTTATCCATTCCTCGTTCTTTTATCCTTTCAGTTCTATTTTTATTTAGACACATGTGCGACACGTTCTGTATTCACAGTTCACCCAAAACCTGTAGTTTAATATTATAATTTCATCAACACTTGTTGCTGCTACAGCTGAGTCATTGAATCTAAAACAGTTTATCAGTGTGTTTGGTCCGACCTGTTTTTTTGGGTGATATAGTAGTTCACGGTTGGTAACGATGTGCTTTGGTTATTTGATTCTTCTAACTAGAACCGTTCTGCTGGGAGGACTATCTGAGGGAGACGTCTTCTGTCGCAGCTTCGCCGACTTGTTTCAAGCAGGTAATTGATCATAAACATGCATTTAAATCTAACAGTCGTGGTTCTGTGTCCCAGGTCTGTTGGAGTGACATCAGTCTGAGGCACAGACATCTGCATGTCATGATTTGGTTTAATAATAATAATAATAATAATCAAACAGAGACACAACTCTACTGTCACTGTGAACTTGTGTCTCCTTGATGTCCTCCAGGCCAGAGTCCCGCCCTCCAATGACTTCAAAG